ACCTTCTGGAGTTTCTTCATATTTTTTTATACCCACAGGACCTTTCAACTCCTGATAATCTTCTATGTAGGCAGGTCAGGAGCATCACATGAACCATTGAAATTTTACTTTATTCTTCTTCTTTACTTCCTCTTTTACTGCTTCAGGTATCTTGCTCTTCTGAAGGCCTCAAACCATTGATGAAATTCATTTTTTTAATGTTCTGTGGGCGTGACTTGGTCGGCATAGCTTGTGGGTGTGGCAGGGGAAGGATACTGCAAATCTCCACCCCACTCTGGTGGCATTTGCCGGTTCTCCGAACTACTCAAGATTTCTGCTACCGGTTCTCCAATCTATTCAAAATTTCCACTGCTGGTTCTCCAGAACCTGCTGTATTTCACCCCTGCCTCAAGCATTGTTATTTGATGCTGTTGTAGTGTGTCTTTGATGTTGCCTCTTTATCTTCTTCTGGGTCCACCTCATGTTCTTTGAGCTTCTCCCTTTTTTTGTATATGCCTTGTATGGTATGGAATCCCAAGACATGATTATAGGACGATAATGGCAAGAACGTGAAAGCTTGACAGGATCTCTCTTCCCCAACACCAAAGAGAACCAGAAGTGGAGGAGCTTGAAATCCATTCTGAATTTATCATGTTCAGGTTTAAGTTGATTCCTATGAAATCTCTCTTGCATTTCCTCATAAGGGTTTCTGTTATATATGCAAATGTTAGAGGAGTGTTGAGTATGCAAATAACTGGGGGGAAAGAGTGTTATATATGCAAATGTTCCCTGTTACCAGCTCTCTGATTGGCTGGTCATTTGACAGTTGCTTTGGGCTCGAGTATAAATACCCTGACAGTTGCAGGGACGTTTTGAGTCGCTTGTCACCTGTGTTATAATAAAGATCTGTCTTGCACATGGCTCCTGCGTGTCAATTCCCTCACAACAACAACCCACACGTTACAATAGTTTCTGTATACTCTTGTAATGATAAAAGAGAGTAGCTTTGAAGGATAGAATGGGGAGCAACAATTTCCAGGGCAACAATTACATAAAAGGGACTTGAGTCTAGGGCAAAAAAAGTAACTTGACAAAAAGACTCAGACAAGCCCCTCCCCAGTTCACATGAAGATAAAGAAAGATGGGGTAACCTTATTTAGACTTGCAAGCTTCTGTTATAATAGCTGTTATAAGAGTAAAAGTAATATTGGTCTACATGGTATTGGTTTCTTAGTCTGGTAGTAGAGCTGAGATCCCCTCAATAGGCTTTCTGCAATGTCCCATCTTCCATTTTTTCTCTTATTTCTTGATGGATTCCTACTTGGGCTACTCATCCAGTTTCATTGGCACTTTTGCTTGAGCCTTTTGCTTCTGAGTCTCTTCATGCCAAAGAGCTTCTAGTATCTGGCACTTAGATTATGAGATCATTTCTCTCTGGTTACTCTTTGGACAACGTATTATTTATGTGATTCATGTAGCCACCCATCTCACACAAGTGACTCTGGGCATTTTAGAAGATTAAAACAAACAAACAAAGCCACCAAACGTAAGTCCCTACTGCCCAAGGATAAACTGTTAATTCCACTCAACATCAATAGAAACAAAGCTCATTGACTCCCTGACCCAAGAGCCTGGAGAAAGAGCCCAGTCTTCAGTGCCTTGCAAAAGAATAACAGGATTGGTGTTATCTGAACTTTTGGGGAGTGGGGAGTGTTAAACATATGTAAGAATTGTTTAAAACATACATATTTCAGATGAAATTGCAGATGAAACTGAATGCATTTTGAGCCATACTGTAAATCTGATCATTAATTATCAGACAACATGTACATTTTAGAAGTTAAACTGAATTGTTTTACTGACAAGTTTGCAATATGCTGCTGCATCTGTCTTAAATGGTTTTGCTATTTCAATTGCTATAAATTAGGTTTTTACTAGTTGTCCAGCCTTTGTAATGTTATTACTGTATGTAAAAATGTATAAAAACCTGTTGTCTTTACTATTCCAATTTCATAACTGTATTTTGAACTATTGCTCATTATGCATCTTATTAACTAGTGCATTATAAAGATGATGAAGAAGAGAAGATGATGATGAAATCCCACTTCAGAACGCAAGTGGAGTTTCATATAAAACCAATGCTTCACCAACCAACCAACCTTTTACATATGAAAACTATTATCAGAGGAAAATCTGACAAGCTTATTTTCTAGTTGTGTGAATGGCACATATGTATTAGAGGGAGCATGACACTACATATGCTTTACCTTCAGTCTGAAATGATAAATCCAAGCAAAAGACTTACCATCTCCCCTTCTGTTTGAGAAGTAGGCTACGACACTCTTGATAAAATTATTTGTAGAGCCATACTGAAAGGTACAAGTAGCTGGTTAATCTTTATTTCTAGTCATGCTAATTATTTTTTAATGAGGACACTATTGATTAAATAGAAAGAAGAGGAATTTGGCAGAAGAGTTTAAGGATAGATTTCTATCAAATTGTGTTTCTAAATGGAAATCGACTAACCTAAGAAAGGATGATAGAGGAAATTTAAAAAATCCTGTGTCGTAATGCCTTAAGAATGAAGAATGAAGACAAGCACTTCAATCTGGCAAATTTATATTTCTCCTTGAAAACAATTGAAATGTAAGCAGGGAGTTACTAAGTAGAGGGTTGGACTAGAAGACCTCCAAGATCCCTTCCATCTCTGTTATTCTATTATATTTGAAATACATTTGCAACATATTATCTTGCAAGAGTACCTGAAGAAAAAAACAAGGATTGAAACAGGAGGAGCCACACTTAAATACATAAGGAAAGATGAATACTTATCAGAGCAAGCAAAGGAGGAATTACAAAAGAAGCTGACAGAACAAAGAACCAAGAAGTGAATAGAAGGGACAATTAAAAACAAATGACTGTAAAACTCAGGAGCTGTGGGGAGGCCTTGGAAGAAGGTCCCCTTTGCGGAGGAGTTGAATGGTCCTGTGGAACAGGAAAGAGAGACCAGATATCTGAAGGTTAGAGAGAATGTAGCTGAGATTTGTAAGAAGAGAATAATAACTGAAATGGTAGTTGATGATTCACAGCTGTAGGAAAATATATATATATGAGTAGGAGAATGATTGACTTTAGATATGGTATCAACAGAGATATTTGGTTTCTGGAATGATGGTCTGAATTATCAGGATGATGGATTTCTGACAAAAGATGGGGTTAAGCTAGGGCAGTTTAAACAGTGCTGAGTGGCTGCATAAAGGGCTGACAAAGAGGACATCCTTTAAAGCAAGGACAGAATTTGCTGATGATATAACAACATTTTAAACATATTATCTTTGAGAAGTCCTGGAGAATTGGTGAAGTGACAGATGAAGTTTAACTCATCATTTCTTCTTCAAGGTTATTCAATAGGGCCAGGAAAAAGTACAGCTCCTTTAATATTGACAATTCTACCACTGTTCCACAGGCAGAATACTGAATGAAAACTAGTTGCAATTTGACAACAGTTCACAACAGCTTCACTTCAGACTGATATCATTTCCTAAATCAGTATGTTCAAGAGCATAAGAGGAGGAGAGGTTGGGGATGGTGAAACACGGGCCTACCGGAAGTTCAGGAAGGCTGGAAATGGGAATGTTTCTGGCTTCCAGAGGGCCTCCAGAGCCTGGGGAGGCCGTTTTCGCCCTCCTGGAGACTTGAAGAAAGCCTCCGGAACCCGGGAAGGGCAAAAACACTCTCCTTCCATGGTGCAGAGGGCCAACTAGGCCACACCCACTATAGCCATGCCCAACCATCAACCGGGCAGAGAACCCCTTGCTAAAATTTTTGAAGCCTACTCCTGAAGCCCACTAGTCTCCCAATAGATGGAGTTTAGAAGCAACCATATTGTATTTGAGGCTAATAGGTATTAATCCCCATGAATTGGTCCACCTCTTTTTTGAAGTCAACCCAGCTGGTTTGTGCCAATTTTTTTCTGTCCTGATTCTTCCAGGATTCAAATCTAGGGGGTAACCTTTAGATTTAGTATTTGCAGAATGGGAATATAGCTTCTCCTTGCCACTTTCCACATCACCCATAATTTTGTACATGTCAATCGCATCCCTCTCATTCATTTCTTTCCTAGACTAAAAAGTTCCAAACATCACAACCTTTCCTTGATCTTCTTAATTTCCGTCCTTAGAACCTTCTCTCTAGTTCCACTACATCCTCTTTAAGGTGCGGCAACCAGAACTGCACACAATATTCTAGATGCCAATTTGATCTAGTGATTAAGGAACTAGTCTAGAAACCAGGAGTCAGCGAGTTATAGTTCTACCTTAACCATGAAAGCCAGCTGGATGATTAATACACCTTGCAGAGTTGTGGGGAAAATAGGAGGAGGAATTAGGTATGTTTGAATTATTAATAAAATAATAAGGTTGGATAAAAATAAATACATTAAAATTGAATTAAAAGTGGTTGCACCATCAACTTATATTAATCATTATAATGTTGGCATCTCTATTTCTTGTACTGTTTTTTATTATCTCTAACATGCTGCTGGCATTTTTTACAGTGATTGTACACTGTGTGAGCACCTTCATTGACTGTTTATCATTATTCCAAAATGTCTTTCCTCATTTGTCACTGTTCTGACCCCCTTAGGTTGTGTGAGTAGTTAGAAATTTTGACACTAATATGTATCATTTTACACTTGTCGTGTTGATTGACATCTGTCATTTTGATGCCCCTAATGTGCAGAGATCCCATTGTTGCTAATTTTTATATGCATATTGGCCTCGCTTGTCATGCTTTTAAAAAATCTCTATACAAGTGTCAATCCAACAACTTTCTTATTTTGGTTTTACATCATGATGTAATTTTACATTAAGATAGCAAAAGTAGCCTTGACAGTTTTTAAAGGAGGCTTGTTGCTTGTTCCTTTAAGGGGTCATTCATAGATTTGGAAATACTTTTTTGTGAGTTGGCCAGCATGGCCCATCCCCTTTCTTGCTGACGTCTGATTCTATCGCACATCAGATTTTTCCCAGTGGAGCTGAAGAATGAGTTCAATGAAAGCTGTCTGCTTGCAGTCTTAAAGGGCTGCAGGCATTTGAATTAGTATTTCCTCTGCTTCTGCTTGGCTCCCTTGGAGCTTTAAGCCAGCAACACTATCAGGAGGGATGGTGAGTGCATAGGATCCTCTCACAGAGCAGGAGTGATCCATTAGCTTCTTCTCTATCAACAGCTTGAGAGGATCTACTGCACGCTTTGAAAGAAGCTATGATCAGGCTCAGTTCTGCAAAGCAAGGAATGAGGATCACCCTGGCTGAATAAAAGTTGTGGCTTCCTAGTCTGAGATAATGGTTCTGTCGGTCCCAGTGATTGCTCTGGGAGCTACATTGGGGACTGCTACCAGTCTCCTTGCCTTATGTGGTCTTACCTGCTTCTGCAAATATAAGCGACCTGGGAAAGGATCCTCAGACAAGGAACGGGATCTGGAGACGGAAAATGCCAAACCTAGCGTGCTTCAGGCACTCCATCAGGTAAGGCAGTACATTGATTTTGTTCTTCTCTTCTTTCAGAGATGCTGTCGCTTAACAAGTGTAGATTTTGAGCAAGGTCACTTAGTGTGTGGGATAATTTAAGATTTATAGCAATTGTCTGTGTTTGCAGAATTTCAGGGTGTAGCATGACTTCTATACAAAGGAGGGGGGAAGGGGGCTCAGGTGGCATATGGGATTACGAAAGCAACAGCCAGACAGCTTTTGTTTTATGAAAGAGAAAGATGGCATAACAAAGATACAGTGACTTCACAGTCGGTCTGATAGCTGGACAGGGTGTAATTGATGGAATACTGAAGCTTGTATGCCAGATAGTAATAATGTCTAAACATTGTATAATTCCCTATGTCTATATGCTTTTGCAACACAGGAAAGTCTTGTGTGTAACTAGTGTGCTAAATTCTGGGCAAGTGTCAGACATAGTAATATATGTTGGTTAAAATGTAAGACAGACAATAACATCTTGTTTGCAATAAACAGATAATAATGAAAGATATTAAGGCAGCTATGAAGAATATAATGTTACGACACAATATACATTTAAATGTCCATAACACGGGTTAGATGTAGTAGGTTACTATTCTTCAATCATTTCAGGATTTGAACAATACAGCGTATGGAAAATTATCATACAAAGGGTTCACAAGGGAGGGAGAGGAAAAATGACAAAATGTGCGTCATGATACAATCCCGCAGATTACGCAAGTAAAAGTGGAGTTTGCATTATGACATCACCATGTAGCATCATCATTTTGATGTGATACCGGCTTGCTGTAAATATCTATGTTAACATATCAATAATAGGTGAGAATGACAAAGACTAATTAGACAAAGATTTCAATTGTATAGGTTCAAATTCCCTACTAGCCATTCATGGATATGGTCAAATAGTTTTCTGGGCCAATATATTCTGATAAAGCATAATATGTGTTATTTGCTTTTGCTTTAATATGATTTGCAAATCTACCCATTATAGCTAGTTCAATAAACTATGGTTAAAGATATTATTGGTTAGAATTATGTATGAATGCATCCATTCATAGCTATTTATGGTGGATAATTCTGTTCATTGGTTTTCTTTCAAGAAATAAATAGAATATACCCAAAATTCAAATTAGACATTAAAAGGACTGAAGTTCAAAACAATTCTTTCTTATATTAAAAGACATGAATAAACACAAAAGTATTGATTCTGGGATTGTGCTCTGTGTGCCTACTTTATTGCATGTGCAAAAAGTATGTGAAGACTAATTGCTTTTATTTTTTGGGTCCCAGAGCTTCTCAGATTGATGGACTCCTGAATTTGAACTATTTTTTTCACATTGGGGAGAAGTTGAGAAAAGATTTTAATCCTTTTAGATGCTTAAGATACCCATTTAATTCCATAAAACTCTGGATGGCCTCTTGCTATACTTTTGCCCTTATTCGATCAATGGAAGATGTTGATCCTTGCTATCATGAATCTGCAATTTAAATAATAAAAAGATGTCTTGTTGCAGCAGAAAGAAAAAGCAATTTGATAGAATAGAATAACAGAATTGGAAGGGACCTTGGAGGTCTTCTAGTCCAACCCCCTGCCTAGGCAAGCAACCCTAATGATAATTGATCACTATATTCAATTCAAGTTTCTGAATTTAAAATATTGCTTACAAATGAAACAATTTGTTCCTTTTTTCCCCTTGAAAAAAATGCACTCACACAAATATGTTAGGATTTGTATGATGCAGCTGCTTGAATGATTTGCAGTCAGATGCTGCATCACACTCCTGTTCCTTACCATTTCTTCCAAATTTAAGCCCCTCCCCCACACAAACATATAGAGAATACATATTAGAACCCCATCCCATTCATGTTGGAAGCACCAAGATACTTCCGGGTTGACAGGATTAGCACGTGATATCACTGTTGCCCGAAAACACCTGGTTGAAGGCTCCTTTCGTATCCCCATTAATGTGCCCACCAAAGTGGTACCTGTTTATCTACTTGCATTTGCACACTTTCAAACTGCTAAGTGGGCAGGAGCTGGAGTGAATGCCAGGAGCTCATCCCATCACACAGCAGCACTCAGGTTTCAAACAAGGGCTCGCTGATTGTCAGCCCAGTATTCTAACCGCATGAGCCACCACGCTCCTTCAGATTATAATTATATCTATAAATAATAGAAATAACAGATAGACAGATGCAAATATTCATTTGTTTGAAATAGATGTTTGTTCTTAATGCTATAAATATTCTGCTTCTTCCGCTGTTTAAAAATGTATGTAAGTTACATATTAAAAACCATGAAACAACAAGACTAAGACTGTTTCCCAGTCAGTGTCAATTCATTTTCAAAGGCAAAAAAAAAGGGGGGGGGTATAGAAAAGCCAACTATGTTTCTGCTTTCCAAGTCTTTTGGGAAGGGGCATTTTTTCATAACTTCTGACTTTATAGCCTTATGGGACGCTCATGGCCCAGGATTCAACCTTTTTTAAGGGCCACCAGAATTCCTTCCTCCAAGACTGTGCTTACCTATGCAAACCATGAAAGAATGCAGAAAAAAGACTATCAAAGAGAGACAGTTGGAGGCATAAATGAAACCACAATGCAATCCATGCAAGCACATGCACATACCACAGAACATATATCATACAACAAATACACACAGAGTGCTGGGAGATTATCAATCCCTTCTCTAAATCACTCTGGTTCCAAAATGATTTGGAAATGTTTACTTTTCTGTCAAAAGTGAAAAAAAGTGAATGAATAACAACATCTCTGAACTCATCTGTAGTTCAGCTATGATCTCTTTTTGCTCTATACTATATGTATAGCATATTATTGGAGTAATCAATTGCATTTCTTAGAAGGGGTGTAATAAATCACCCTTAACCATACTGCCCTTCACAATGGCCCTTTTCATCATATACCTTTACCCCAAAGGATAAGATTATGGTACATACCAATAATATTTCTGTTAAATAACTGTAGAACTAATCCAATTGCAGTTTGTTTCCACCATTCATACTTCAAAAGACATATACCAAGGGCTCATAGATTATATCCATGGGATTATATCCATGAAACTCGTGATTTCTCACTTGACTGAATCAAATTTGCAATAATTTGCAATAACATTTTAGCCCTAAACATTTCTGCAACTTAGGTTAGGCTGCAAGAGAGTGATGACCAGGGCCATTTAGTGATCCTCGTAGTTGAATATGGATCTCTATGCATACAGTAACAATAGACTATGAAATATAATGTACTAATAGAACATCTAGATTGAAAGATATGGATAAAAGAGAATATTTGTAACTCATGGTTGAACCTTAGGGTCCTTGTGCTGCATGAATGTGGTGGTTTTTTGCAGATATTTCATTACCAAACTAGGTAAACTCAGTGCAGTCATGATGTTATCTAGTTTGTTAATGAAAATGACTGCAATAAAACCACCAAGTTCAGAGACCAACAAGGACCCCACAGATTGAAAGAGTCTAGCTATTGCATTATATTCCATAGTCTATTGTTACTATATGTGTTGGTTTACCTTTCCTGCCTCTGAAATTGCTTCAAGGAGGGGGTGGGAGGACAGACAGAGCTGGGGAAGAAATGGAAAAGAGATCTTGAGAAGGAAAGTGCATAATTTGATGATGAAGTACTGGGAAGAGGCTTAGGTTTAGTCTCCAATAAGACCTATTGAAAAGTGGTCTTCAACAGCAAAACTATCTGGATAGTTGGTACCACTCAGAATACATAGCACTAGATTGATAGGTTGGAATGACAGTGAGGCAGGAGATGGAGGTGGTTTATATGAAAGAATAATTTGTTTACTACTATAAAAAGTACTAAGTGTGATCATTTGGGGTGCAGCCCTAATTAGTAGATCTGACTCATGTTGCCTAGCAACTAGGGGGTCCAAATAAATGTGTACTATACTTTTTGCTTGTTTTTAAAAAGACCTATTGCATTCTAGACATAATACAGCTTTGATTTCCTCTGCTGTAAGATGAGAGACCTCTACTTGGAAAACTTGACCCTGGAGTGGATAGGTTATCTATTTACATACAACTTAGTTTCTCCATTTATAAGCCACTCCAATTGCTAAAGTGACTCTATGGAACGTGCATTATTTTAAAACAAAAACACAAGCAGGAAAACAATAATAAAAAAGGTACATAGCACACATTAGACTGGGGATGGGTTTCTATTAAAAGAAGCATTGAACAAACTATTCCTTCCATGTAATGCACTGGTGGGTTCCTACTGGTTCAGACCAGTTCAGCCGAATAGGTAGTGATTTGGCACCTTGGGTCATTGGAACTGGCAGGGACTCAGGCCTGCCACTGAACTGGTTCTCCAGCCAGCACCACAGGCACCACCATCTTGTTTTTTGCTTCTGCACATGCGCAGAACAATATTTATTGCAACGCACATGCATGGGGCACCCATGAGTGAACCGCCAGTAGTGACTACCAGAACCCAGCCATCATGTAATGACATTTAAGCTATTTAGCCTGAAGTCAGATTTTATCTGTAATATAGCGAACATGATACGTGCAAGTTCTTTTAGGTTTTCCTTTCTGTTTTTCCTGATTCCATGAAAGCCTTGTGATTTTAGCTTTAAATGAAATAGCTTTTGAGATACTTAATGCCCAATAAATCAATGATCACGTCATTGAAATGTGGGGCAAGAGGAGTTAAAATTGTGTTAAAGTACTCTGCCTATTCAGAATCCATCATCTTACTGTTAGGGTTCCATTGTACTGGAATGATAGGAAATCTATCCCTTGAATGTGAATCTGTAGTGTCTGTTTCTCTAGACCTATTCACTATCTGCCTCTGCAGTCAATGAGCAAGGATCATAGTGTGAATTGGTGTCATAATTACATGATCAAAGGAGCAGCCTGCCTGCCTGCCTAATCCTGATTATTGCTTGTATCTTTAAACAATGCCAGGAAAATGATTCCTTTCAAAATGTGTGTTTTAGAAGAGAAGTCTCTTTCTTTCAATTCTGAAACTTAATTTGGTTTGTTTGTGTGGGAGTTGTATTTTCATGTCTCTTGCATCCATTTATAACAGTTGCTTTGCACATACAGTATAATAATTGCAGTAGGTTTTAATCAACTAAAAATATCATTATGTTGATCACATAGGTTCATGTTTGAATTAATAACCATGATATTCTTGAGGGAACTAACATTCCATGGTTTAGTTTGCTTTGCTTGAATTGGGCATGTGAACCCATCTTTTGTATTTTGTAAACCACAGTTAAGCGTGTTTGGCCAATTGTAACCATGGCTTAGTAGGAGCCACAAATATTTCCATGCATTATTATTGCCTGTCTGCATTTGAAAGACTAATCTTTCTCAAACTGATGATTTCCAAATGTATTGGTCTTAAACTTGTCTAATCCTAAACCCAAATGGAAGCAATCAAGTTTGGGATGCAGTTAATAAATTAGCAGTTAATTAACATCTAGTTAATAAATGCAGTCTAACTAGATCTAAAACCTAAGTATATTTTATTTGCATATTTTTAATTCGTGATTGGTCTGCCTTACAGCAGGATTCTTTCTTTTACTCTAAACCAGCAGCTGGTGTTTGTTCAGCCTAGCAGTGATTTATTGCCAATTTTACTCATGCCAAAGGGTGGGAAGATCCAAAGTGTTATTTAAAGCCTTAGTATTTTACAGATTGTTCTTATTCAAACTTTTGTTGCAAATAATTTTATTTAACACAAAACCTATCTGTCAAAGGGAGCAGAGATCACATTTTTTATGACTGACAGAGTAGGTCATATACACAATAAACAGGAACAGATGCAATGCAGTTGATCATTCCCCACTGTAATTGTATATGGCTCCCAAAGGAATGGCCTCTTGTTACATGATGACAGAGTGTCACTAGAGTGTCTGGCTTTGGCTTCAATAAAGTGCCTCATATTTATAAATCCACTCTTACTTAAGTGAGACAAAATACTCCATATGCACAGATATATAGCAATATAGCAATAGCAGTAGACTTATATACCGCTTCATAGGCCTTTCAGGCCTCTCTAAGCGGTTTACAGAGAGTCAGCATATTGCCCCCAACAATCTGGGTCCTCATTTTACCCACCTCGGAAGGATGGAAGGCTGAGTCAACCCTGAGCCGGTGAGATTTGAACCGCTGACCTGCTGATCTAGCAGTAGCCTGCAGTGCTGCTTTTTAACCACTGCGCCACCTTGGCTCTTAGCATATCAGCTTTGCAATGGTCTAAAATATCAATTTGGGCATTAGTAAAGATAGAGTAGAAACACATATCAGTAGTGAAGTTTTGTTCATGTACAAAACCTTGTTTGAATAGGACAGGACAATTCTGAGCAGCTGTCAGAATGCTGTACTCTGAGGTAACATGCTCTGATCCAGTCAATTTCATGCTACCTGTAATAGAAGGAAATAAATGAGCCATTCCCCCACCCCCCAAAAAGGGCTTCTTGTTTTATTACCTATAATAGCAATAGCAGTTAGACTTATATATACCACTTCATAGGGCTTTCAGCCCTCTCTAAGCGGTTTACAGAGTCAGCATATTGCCCCCAACAATCCGAGTCCTCATTTTACCCACCTCGGAAGGATGGAAGGCTGAGTCAACCTTGAGCCGGTGAGATTTGAACAGCCAAACTGCAGAACTGCAGTCAGCTGAAGTAGCCTGCAGTGCTGCATTTAACCACTGCGCCACCTTGGCTCTATGGGAGACATGATTGCTTAATGCCAAATCAGGGCCCATTACGGGGAGTAAGAAGTGACAATCATTACAATTTTTTGGATCAGTACAGTCTTTGTTGCTTCTTCTCTACCCTACCTCCCTAATAATACTCCCTCATACTCTTTGGAAATTCTGGAAGATTCTGGAAAAATCCTGGCTTGCAGAGTCTGGAGGACAGATGAGAGTAAGGATCCAGAATTTCTCCCTCCAAGGATGAAGCCCAAATTTTGTCCTCCAAAGAAGGGAGAAATTAAATAATTTCATACATGCTTCCTATATATAGAAAGAGAATTTAACAACCACCCCTTTAAAGTTAACAACTGTTTCTCTCTCTCTCTCTCTCTCTTTCTAGATCGATAGATAGACAGACCATGCAATTAACTATATTATGATCTCTCATATTTATTATAAAATGTTCTTCCCTTTGGCTTTTTTATCCTAAGGCTTGAAGAACATGTTGCTTTTAAAATATCTGTCAATTTTGTCCTTTGTTTTAAAACATGGGCAATAATACTAGGACTATTACCATTTATTTATTCAGCCAATTTATATAGCTCCCCATCTACCAATGGGAGTCTCAGCAATAAAAAAATATAAACATATTAGAAAGCTCAATTAAAAGAGCCAGTTTAAGCAATTATATGTGCTTTAAGTTCACTGTGGGGCCTTACAGGATGGAAACATAGAATGAAAAGCAAAACAAAAGAAAAAAGAACAGAAGGATCCATATAATTCTTAGTTAGGTTCTGTAATGGACTAAATAGCCAATTATTATTTCCTTAAATAATTATTTAACTTAATTTGGAGATGAGCTTAATTTGTGGATCTTACAAGTGGCATGCAAGGAATAAACTAAAACTGCTTTGAACACAACGTTATCCAGCCTTTCATAGCTATTTGGCTGCATCTCCTATCATCTTTATTCTTGGCTCTGCTTGGGTATGTTTAGAATTGTAGGATCTGGAGCTGATCGTGGCTGCAAAAGATGCTACAATACAGTGCATTATGAATTAGACAGCTTCCCCACAGACAAGCTGATTTGCAAGGAAAGGACTTGGCTGCACTGAATGCTTCCTCTGGGATGCGGTCTACATGCATTATTAACAGGACAAGAATTTTAAAAAAGAATGAAAAACATTAATTACACTTCAGCATATGCTTTCATTCTCTCTACTTTGGCTTGAAAGAGAGCTGTGGTTGCTGTGGTCAGTAGGCTTAGCTTTTTTTGCAAGAAAAGAGCAATCCTCAGCATTTTGGAATTTATCTAGAAATTTGTGAGGAAAGAAAATGCCATTTAAAGTTATCAAGACTAAATTTTTCCCATTCATTCGTTCATACTTATGTGTGCACAGACAGGAAAAATATTTACAGAACATAAATATATGCAATGTGAATGAACCTGCATTCATTTCAGGAAAGCTTGACATATCTATTAGGAATTTAAGGTTTATATATAAAGCATGATTGTTGGGGCTGTGGGGGGTGGGCGGGGAAGTTTATTGTGACTCTTTCCTGCTATTTACTCTAGGGACCTACATGTATGTTCCACAAAATATAGAAGCAATTGCATTTTCTGCTTAAATGATTTCTAATCCACATGGTATGGAGAAAAGGAGAAGGAAAGAATTATAAGAGAATTAGGAGTAGAGACTGGAATGACTAATTAAAAATAGCCCCAGTGTGTTTCTTTAAGAGGATTTTTTTTGTTTATTTCCAAAATATGATGAATAGTGGCAGCAATGTACCATTCCTCTAATGTAAGTTCACAGTCGAAGGAGCACATTTTGCTTTAATAAATTCTAAATGAATGCAATAAAAATAAAATCTGGGGTCTTTCTGTTTCAGTTTAATGTTGAGAAGACAGCAGAGCCAGTACAACCCCAGACAATCCTCGGTTTTCCTCACATCTATGGTCCAAAGCCTATCGTGACCACCTCAGAAATTGTTAACTATATAGATTACAACTTGAAGACAGTAGAAGAACCAAGCAAGGGAAAATCTGAAGCTCTGGATAAGAAAAGGATGACCATACAAGTCAATGAAGAGCTATTTCTTCTCCCTCAAAATGGTGGGGCCTTTGTTAAATTGCTTATGATTGCTTCTTCTTTAATGAGGAATCACAATGGATTTTCTTTCTAATTATAGAATATTATCCCATAGCACATGATCAACATAGTAAAAGTATGCAATTAAGGGTCAGGCTTACACTGCATAAAAATATACCATATAAAAGGTGAAATGCACCAAGGCTTTTTAACAATGTTAATCTATATTATCTCTACTTTGAGCAAATTATCTATGTAATTGTTCACATCTGGCAAATTCCATCCTATTGTTCAACATCCTTATGATTTTCTCCTTTTCATAGCATCATTTAAAAAAACTCATTTTATTCTTAGGATGGTAGCAGCTATTCAATTTTCTAGGGGATTTGCCCACAGGCATGACAAAACCTCTAGAAGCATATAAAGAACTGTATTTTGAATGGAAAAATAATGATTTTTGCACTTAATTATTTTCAATTTCTTGAGGACAGAGAACTCTGCCTATTATACTGATGAAAGAATAAAAGAAACAGTAATTATTTCGGATAAGCTAGGAGATATAATTTGGATATTAATAAACCAGCTTCCCATTTTGTAGTCTACAACCTCCTCAGAGAGTGTGATCAATAGCCATAGTGGCTGAAGGTAATTTAATTTACTTATATCATTTTTAAATGATTTTCTATGCAACTGCATTTCAAAGTGATTTAAATTAAATTATAATACCAGCTGTACATTAAAAAGAATTGTTATAATAATGTTTTTTTAAGTAATTCCAAATTCCAAGAAAAATGAAACTGAACCATTTGTCCAAAAGGTACCCTTGCATGAAGAAATTTAATAAGCAGCTGAATGTTCTAACATTATGGACACCTTACACATATTAGGATGCAGATTATTCCAGAGAGCAGGTGCACTTTACTTATAATTCAACCTAATTGGAGAGCACCATGGGAAAAGCTTATGTAGAGAAAACCTTTGAATGCACAACAGATGTTGACAGCTCAGTGTGGCATTGTGAATCTCTTAATATATATTATTAAGCTGGTTTTAATGACAATAAATAAAAATCCAGTTCTGTTTCTCTGAACATTTGACATAGAAATTAAACTGATACATTTCTTTCCTTTAAACCATTGAACTTGCTATTACAATTCATCCTTTTAAAGAACAGTGATTGCTTACTTGTGGATGCATGCACTAAGTGTGAATAAAGACAAGAAGGAAAAAAAGCTTAGAAAATTCATGTCAGATGGCAAATTGGAAATGTTCCTAGGAGTGAAGTGGAAAAGGATTCTGAAATCTTAAAGGGTTTGTCCAGTTTTAACTTTAGAGTTTCAAATGGATCATTTTCTCTGGATACTCAGATTTTATCTCAAGCAATATCTCTATCCCAGAGATATCCTACTAGCAGGATATCTCTGGGAGATATCCTGGCTCATTTCAGAAACTCTGCTCCTTTTAATAGACAGCCAGACAGATAGGCATACTATATATTCTTTAAGAACATTTCTTAAATCAACACTTGCCCAAAACACCTTCTTGAAAAATATCAAAAGCCAATGGCTTTAATCCAGTGTTTGCCCTAACTGTCTCCCCTTCTAATATCAAGGGCAGTGGCAGGATTGAGCAATTTGCCCCACTTCAGGAGAACCAGTTGTTAACTTTCTGAGCAGTTTGGTGAACTGGTTGTTGGAATAAATCATTAGGGCAGAAAACCTGTTGTTAAATTATTTGAATCCCACCACTGATCAAAGATAACCACAAAGAACTTCTGGGAAATGAGGAAGGCTAGGAGGAACAGTGTCACCCACTCTCCTTCTATGTTTTGTGGTTGCTTAGGTCTACCATGGCAACCATGTTGCAGATAGGCAAGCTCCTTATTCCAGGTATTTTGTAAGAAGATATGACAGGCTGTCTTGTGATAAGCGTATAAGTAAAACAATCTTGGGTGGAATCAAGAAACAAATCTTTGTGCCAATAACAGAAAGATTACCCTAACGTTATGGGCAGAAACAGAAATAAATTGTACTTTCTCATGAGATAGATTTGGCCTCTGCATCTGGGAAGAGATTGACTGATCAGAGTTTGGAGGATGCTGAAGGAACTTTCTTTTCCTGGTTCTAGGACTGCTGGGATCCTGCTCAGTTAGCATGGGTGTCTTTTTAAAAGATAGGACTGCCAAATGGCCCAGCAGACTGGCCCATGCCCCCAAAAAGGACCTGTTATAGCTTACAACCTTATTATTAGCACCAGCTGATGAAATGGCATAGCAGATGAGCTCATCCAGCTGAAACAGTAATTAAACTCAGCCATCTCTGTTCCCCAGCTATTGGAAGCAATTTTGGCATCCAACTCCTTCCTCTGCAATTCTGAATCCGATTGCATTATTTTAACTTGTTGTGTTCCAAATGTTTATTGTGATTCAAATACAGCATCAAGAATATCTTTCTTCACCCTTGGAGCAATTAACTACATTGGATATTTGAATAAAATTACTGAGCCTTTGACCATGCAAGTGTAAACAGCATCATGATGGAGATGGAAGTCTTTAGGGAACTATATTTTATTGATATAGATTATAGTAAGAAAGGCTGGTGAAAGGCTGCATAAGTTCTTCCTTCCGTCTTATCGTATTCTGAATTAGGGAGGAGTAAATCTGAGTTTCTTTTCCTATTTTTGCTGTTATCTGACTTTAAAGAATGCTTTCCTATATATAATCACTGCTTCTGCTTAGTTTCCTCAAGTTCATCTCCAAGACTCTCTTCATGGACTCTTTGATGGCATGCTTTCAACACTTATAGAGAAATGTCCAATATAGGCAGGGTCAAACCCAGAAATTCTGGGCAAGCATAGGCCAGTCCATAACCTCCATGTTTACTGTCCAAAACATACATGTATAATGGTGAAGTCAGTTTTAAGTGCACATGATTGAATTTCAAAAGTAAGTATTATGCCTAGCTCACAAAATGCCCACACGTAGGTAACTGAAGCTGGTGATATGGGATTTCTGATGCCATGTATCAAGATCAAGGTCTACTGTCCACCTGTACTGTTTGCCATCAGGCCAAGGATATGTCCAGAAAACCCAAAGCATTCCTGCAACAAATACCTATATTTTTGGCTCCCTAGTATACCATCATCTTTGATTTCATGATGAAATACCTGTGATTCATTTGTGATTATCTATGTATACACAGAAGTCCAAATTTGAGGTTGTATCTTATAAAGAATGAAGTCGGAAGAAAATCAATTGCTGTACTCATTTACAAAAGCAAATATTTTCTTGAAAGTGGACATTTACAGAGTGATTGTTAAATAGTCATCAATATTTATGCCATAACAAATGTCCAAATTTTCAACTGTAAAATGTGTTTTCAAAGCATCATAAAACTTTGAGTAGCAATAGCACTTAGGCTTATATACTGCTTCACAGTGGTTTACAGAGTCAGCATATTTCCCCCAACAATCTGGGTCCTCATTTTACCAATCTCAGAAGGATGGAAGGCTGAATCAACCTTGAGCCGATGAGACTCAAACTGCTAAACTGCAGTCAGCTGACAGTCAGCAGAAGTAGCCTGCAGTACTGCATTCTAACCACTGCACCACCATTGTGCCTACCCTACAAATAGGATAGATAATTTTATATTGGAGTGGGATAAGTGAGACCATCAGGCATTTGCAGCTTTTTTCAACAAAAACTTTGATGTGCTACAAAAGTAGCCAAAATACATTTTGATATGATAAAAAAAGGAAAATTACTACATTCAGGGATATTTTTTTCATATTAATGCTAATTTAAGTTTAATTTTAGTCAAATCAAATTTAGCTCTGACCTTAATTACACCTATTTCTTTTTCTTGAAGTAGAGTTTCTAGATTTTACCTGAAGTCCCCTTCCAAAAGGCCATCCATTCGTTTTATATCATGGTTTCAAGTGGAAAAATACAAGACTATTCACCAATAGTCATCTTAGCTGGAATAGAGCACAATTTCTAATTAACATTCCTTTGAGCTTTAGGTGGTGTAAAGGATGTTTGTGTCACTGAGCGCCTCAGTCCTGAAAATGCTGTAGGCTGCAATCAAGTCCCAGAACTTCATTATTGTCTGGGCTACAACCGACAGAAAGAAGCACTGTCCGTTGCTTTCCTTGAAGGTAAAGTTTTGCAAGCTGGTGATTGAAAATGAGAGTACTGATAATTATAACTTATTAAACTTGTATGTCAACTGATTTGTAATGTCTCTAGGCAGCATAGAACAATCAAAGAAATTACAATGCACTCGATAAAATGTAAAAATAAAAATAAATGATGGCTAACATGATAAAACAAGGGGTATCATCCTCTCTCTCATCAATATCCTGGGTGATGAGCCATGTCTTCATGGCTCTTCTTTAACAACATCAGAATTGGAGCATCCACATTTGAGGGGGAAAAAGCCTGACATAGGATTATTCCAATGGTGGGTTTCCAATTTTTTACTATTGGTTTGCTTGTGTGCGTGTGCATGCTTCTGCACATGCACAAAAGCGGGAGGGTGAGTGGAGCCTCCTACCACTGCTACTACCAGCCTGATCCAGGCTGAACCAGGAACAACCCACTTCTGGATTATTCCAGACAAATAAGACTTTAACAGAAGACATTTATATAGTCAGTCAATTTGGTATAGTTTTTAAAGGCATCAAGCTAGAAACTGAGTGACTTTTATTTGAAGTCCTGCTTCAGGTACAAAGCCATCTGAGTGATCTTCTCTGTCATCCCCAGGAAGAAGGGTGAAGCAAAAATGTTCTGAAAATTTTTTACCTAGAAAATGGTAGGGACTTATGTATACAATTGCCAGGATTCAGGGCTGGATTTAAAGATATAAAGCATAAAAAGTATAAAAAAGCAAGGAAAAAGCGTATTAAAGGCTATTTTTTAAAAAAATCATATAATTTACTGTTCAAGCAGTGATTTACTTCCTCATAACTAGGAGTAGCCAGCCAAATACTTAATAAACTTTAATATCTCACATTTCTCATCATTTTACTTTATTCTAAACATAAAATGCAACTATTTTTGTATATGTCAAACATAACAGAAGAAAAGAAGTAATAGACTAGGTCATAAAAAGGTCCAATAAAAGAATAATTATCTTTACACAATAAATTATAGTTTAATTTACCATAGTAATAATCCATATCTTCATCTCTTAGTTCCTTGTCCTTACACTCTCTTCTCATATAGCTGACTTTTGAAAAGCTTTACTGGTTTTCTATGATATCCGAAATAGGAAGTAATGGAGGGTAATGCAGAAAAATGTTGGTCACTCTTGATTAAAAAAGCCTGGTATTTCTGTGGGCCTCTAGGCATTGCTAAACTATTATACAATCTAACATCCCTTACTCTTGGCCATTCTGGCTATAAGACTTATCATTAATTCTGGATGCCCCCCTCAATCCGAACACTCCTCCCCACTGTGACAATTAACAGGTTCAAGATTACTCTGCCTAATATGAGTATATATCATTTATTATTTTAATTCAAAAATCAAACATAATAGAGTTCACCAGACTGCATTGTTATTATCTCATTTCCTTTCTCTCTAGATATTTCCAAATCACCATAAAACCAAGATCTGAATGACATTAATTACAATTAAAGGAAAACTGGTCTGTTTTCTGCTGCCATTCATTTATGTCAGAATTCAACTCTGTTATCACAACAGTAGATATGTAACCTATATATAATCAGGGTGACAGGTGACAGAAGTCTGTAGTTTGGCTCATGTCCAATCAAGCTTGCAGAAATAGAAGTTTGCTTTCTTGCACTACATCAAAACCTTGACTTTGCTGTAAATCAAACCGAACCAAATGATACTAGTCTCTTGAAAATATTTTAGCACAGGATTTAAATGATAATAGCATTTTCCCCTTCACTCTGCCCCTACCAGTTTTATATGGAACCACATCAGGAGACCAAAACAATGGAAGTGATTGCTACATCTTAGGCACTTTGATGAGCAACTCTGGAACTATAGAAGCCCAGACTGTGATGAAGAAGAAGCAAGTCCACATTGTCTGGGAAGAAGCTCTACTGTTTCCGATTAAGGAGAAGATGCTGCCGGAGGGGACATTAACCCTCACCTTGAGGAACTGTGACAAGTTCTCTAGACACAGCATTATTGGTGAGATTAAACCAAATCTGGCTTCTGTAGGGGAGCAATATGGACCAGTACAGTCTGAGAAAGTGAAAGTCCTTGACAAGGTATTCTATCCATTCATTTTTATTGTATTACTGCATATTATATTCTCCTGTTGGGATACAGAATGTTGCATGTGAGTCTTCCTAAACTTCTGAATCTTAATTAACTTTATCCCATGGTCACAATGACAGCATTGTTAGATTCTTTCAATGTTTCACCATGAGAGTATAGAGAAATATTGAACATGATCCCGATTGGGTTTCATTCTTGGCCCAATACTAGTCAATATCTTTATGAATGATATATAGATGAAATGGAAGGGATAGAAAGGCCGATACTATGATGCTAATTCCTGATACTAAGTAATAGGATAATAATTTAAAGTGGTGGTTCTCAACCATTTTAAAATCAGTTGCACAATATTGAATATAGTACTAATTCTGTAGCACACCAAAATTATTAATTTTATATACTTATTTTTATATTTGTAAGTCATGGTTTGAGGGGAAGTTATGAAAATTTTAAGATCACTGCACTGTATTGAATATACATATTATATAGAACATACCTAATACAAAAAATGAAAAAAATAACAAAAAACCTATCACAAATGGCACATTAGTTGAGAACCACCTTATTAAAAGACAGCATAAAGATTTAAAATTACCTTGCTAAGATTAAGCCAAGTTCAAAAGAATAATTCTCAGTGAAGAGATATGTAATGTTCAGAGACTAAGAAAGAAAAATCAAATGTAGAACCATTGGGAGAATCTATCTTGGTGTGAGCATTGTGAGAGAAGCTTCCAGCATACATGATTACTCCATGCAAATATGATAAACTCACCAAATCCCAAAACATGCCACTACCTACTGTTATCCAAGAAAAGGAAAATCAACCACATTAACCCAAGGAGAACAACTAGATATTTATAGCCATCCCATATGTTCTTTTCCAAGAGGCAACTGGACTTTCTGGTTTTTCTTTGAGAATGTTTCACTTCTCATTCAAGAAGCTTCTTCAGCTCCTTTGGGACAACCATGACTTGGATAACTGAGAATTTCCATGGACATTTAGATCTTTATAACTATTCAGAAAACCAACAGGGTGGGCACCTTCTGGGTTTCATTCCAGAGGGCAAGCACTACGGCTTTTCAGCAGATGCTTGGAGGTGCTAAAGTTGAGATGTTGCTACTAGTCTTACTATTCTAGAAAAAATGCTTCTGAACATAGGAGAATCCTAGCAGGTGGCTAATTATACCTTTCAAACAGATGGCCTCAATCAATTTACAGATGGACTCCAGGAACATACAGTACAATACCAAGAATGCCAATAAACTGTTTGTACATAATAAGTGCATACTATACAGTTATATTTAGCAACTGACAGTCATATTTCTCATTGATTGGCCTTCTTCAAACATCCTCTGAGGTTGTAATAAGGTAGAAATGCTGTCCCAACCTGAAAAGATTAGATTGACATGCTTGGAATTGTGTCCTCATTTTGCAATTTAACATATGGAAAGAAAAGGTACCTCACGAGGGATCTCAGAGAGGCTGCTATTATATTGTGAACCAAGACAGAGATCTTGAATCATTAATCAGACGTGAGGCAGAAAAGAGATTTTTAAAAAAAGAAGCAACATTTTTGGTACTGCATTTTGAAGATGAGCTTATTAGGTTTGTTGAAAGCTAAGCTGGTATGATAATGTCAGTTTCAAGCTTTGGTTGGAAAATGATTCAGTTGAACCCCCTTCTAATTGCGGAAGCAAATTGATGCCTCCAATCAAATTGGTTGCCTCTGAACTGATTTGACCTTTCTATATACAGAAATACATTTTTCCAATCATATATATGATTAATATTCAATGGTAATGAACTGATAATTTAGAATGGATTTTGGGTGATTTGAATAGCCCTGTTAGAAGTTTTCCATATCGTTTCAACAGTTTCACTGAAAAATGCCAGATTCTTCTTCGTTGTAATTCTGTCCTGCAGATTTAAAAATGGGCTTAGTAAATTCATTGATTTCCAAAAAGATATATCACATCACAGTACCTGCTGGTATCACAAAAGCATAAAACTTTATCTCCTGCACTCTAGCAACTAGCTTAGAATGAAAGGCTTGTAATACAATTTTTGCATGAATTTATCACTAATTTTAAGAACAGACTCCGATTAGAGGAAGTGGTTTAGAAGTATATCTATCATGAAAGGCATTTTCTTCAATACTGTAAGAATATGTAAGGGTTTTTAGAAATGGATAATAACAAATAGGTTAACCCAGGTAATAAAAACAGTTTTTTTCCTGATGAAACACCACTAGAATGAATGCCAAGTGAAGAATGTTTGGATAGTTCCCTGCCAGGTAACAAAATGTCTTAGCTCAGATTTACAAACATTCAGTGCATTCTTTAGGTTAAGGTAAAGGTAAAGGTTCCCCTCACACACATGTGCTAGTTGTTCCTGACTCTAGGGGGTGGTGCTCATCTCCATTTCAAAGCCAAAGAGCCAACACTGTCCGGAGAAATCTCTGTGGTCATGTGACCAGCATGACTAAATGCTGATGGTGCACAGAGAACTGTTACCTTCCCACCAAAGTGGTCCCTATTTTTTACTTGCATTTTTTACATGCTTTCAAACTGCTAGGTTGGCAGAAACTGAGACAAGTAACAGGAGCTTACCCCATTACACAGCGCTTAGGGATTCGAACTGCTGAACTGCCAACCTTCTGATTGACAAGCTCAGTGTTTTAGCCACTGAGTCACATGTCCCTGATTCTTTAGGTTAACACTGATGAATTGAAGCTAAAGTTTGCATTAGAGTGGGTAGTATATATTTCCCCTCCCTTACTCATACATTATATGATCATTGGACAAATCAACTGGAAGTATTTTGTGAGTTGGACAAAATATTCAAATGAATATTGGGATGTGGGATTTAACTTAAGAGCCAAAGTTTCTCAAGGGTGAAGAAATATTAGTTCTTCCAGAATCAATCATTGCCCAATCCCAAAGCCAAGAACAGCAGAGCAAAACATCTATTAAACAATTGGAGGTATGAGATAATGAACCACTGAACTTAAACTACAGTTAGTATTGAAATGTCATATAGGTAAAGAGCAACCAATTGTTTCATAGCTTTCTCCTAGTATGAAAGAGCAATTCTTATCTTATCATGCTGCAGCTCATGTTTGAAAGTGTTAAAATGAGTATAACCCTAAAGCCTAATTAGGCCATATGAGTTATTTAGTTACTCTATCAAGGTCCTGTCATTGACAATATTATGACATGCATTCACTATTATATGTGAATCCTTTCTGTAGCCACTTAACATTTTGACATTTTGTAGTTTCTTGACTGATAGGATATAGCTGCACTATTTATCATATTTGTGCTCTCCAGGAAGGTCCAATAAGGTCCATGACTAGGACTACAGGTTATTTCTCACTATTGTCTATAAATAAAACAAGTTGTTGGAATAATAATTAAGCTATTCTATGTAGTGCAGTAGTCCCCAAATCTTCTAGCACCGGTGACTCGTTTCATGGAAGACGATTTTTCCACAGATGGAGGGATGGTTTCAGTTTCACTCCCTTGCCTGCTGCTCACCTCCAGCTGTGTGACCCAATTTCTAACAGGCCACAGGCCACTAATGTAGTGTATCTTCAGTTAATATTCTATTACTGTCCATTATAGTGGCATTCTTCAGTGAATGGCAAATAAGACATTTTGTTTTCAATGGCAGCCACTTTTCATTTTTCAGCATTAAAAAAACAGGCCTTTTTAGGAAGGGGGGGGGACCCAAAATGATACCTCTCTATCTGAGAATACTCTTGAAAGAATTTACCATATTCCCAAAATAAAATAATAGATTTCATTTTTTAAAAAAATGATTATTTTTGGATTAAAGCAGTAGAATCCATTGTTTATAGTCTGGTTTACTACATTTTGAGGAGATTTATACAAGTCAAGGGCGGCTTAGTGGCGAAGATGCCAAGCTTGTCAATCAGAAGGTTTGCAGTTCAGCAGTTCGAATCCCTAAGCGCTGTGTAATGGGGTAAGCTCCTGTTACTTGTCTCAGTTTCTGCCAACCTAGCAGTTTGAAAGCATGTAAAACATGCAAGTAGAAAAATAGGGACCACCTTTAGTAGGAAGGTAACAGTGTTCCATGTGTCTTTGGTGTTTAGTCATGCAAGCCACATGACCACGGAGACATCTTCAAAGAATGCTGGCTCTTCAGCTTTGAAACAGAGATGAGCACCACCCCCTAGAGTCAGGAACAACTCGCACATATGTGTGAAGGGAACCTTTACCTTTATACAAGTCAAAACGAGATGGATGTTTCAGTAATAATACACAATTTGAGCTGAATATATTCTTCCTTATCCTTCACTCTGAGTTCTCCAGAGAAAACTGAGTTTTAAAAAAATGAAAAAGGACCAATTCAAGGCAAAAAAAAAAGATTTTCAAGAATGCATCTGCCTTCAAAGAGGGAAAACCATGTCTGTAATAATCTGGGTCATCTAGCCAGAAAAAAAAATCTGAAATATTTATACCTCTCTAAATAGCTTTTTCTTGTTGACTTTCCAGTTTTATTTTTTATGCAACATGTTTTATGTGCTATGGCTAGAGTCTGCTCTTATAAGAAATCAGATTTACTCTTAAATACTTTATACTCTTACGTATACTTTGGAGATTTCCCAAAGTATGTGTAAAAGTAAACATTCCCCTTGTGCATTTTGATTACATCATAGTTGGTAGTTGAAAATAACTTTGCTGCTAGTACATAGGGGGAGTGGGAGTCTTAAGGCTAATTGAGGGACTAGGGGAGACATGATAGCAGTGTTCCAATATCTCATGGGCTGCCACAAAGAAGAGGGATTAAAACTATTCTCTAAAGCAACTGAGAATAGAGCAAGAAACAATGGGTGGAAACTAATCAAGGAGAGAAGCAACTTAGAACTAAGGATAAATTTCCTGACAGTTAGAACAATTAATCAGTGGAACAACATTCCTCCAGAAGTTACGAATTCCTCAACATTGGAAGTTTTTAAGAAGATGTTGGAACTATTGTGGTGTAGGGTTTCCTGCCTAAGAAGGGGGTTGGACTAGAAGACCTCTAAGGTCCCTTCCAACTCTGTTATTCTATTCTATTATAATTACTCTGCATAACACCTGCAAATTGCTATCACTGAAGCAAGGAGTAAAACTCATACATTTCAAAAAATGATAAAACGTATCATCATTAGAAGACAATGATTTGATATATATATCAGAAGAAATGTACTGTAGATTGAAATTTAGAAATAGCATAATTTGGATTTAAAAACTACTGTGCTGAAGACCATTCAATGCCTGTTCAATCTACTACCCATGTCCAGCTGTTCGGGTTTTACCTCTTCCTGATATTTCTCATTAAAACACCGTAAGTTTGGACTGACAATAGAAGACACCGTCAGATAGAACTTTTTTTTGATAGCCCTTTAATTACAGGATCATGCTAGGATAAACACACTCTGTAGGCACTCTTTTTCTTTCTTGCTGGCAGAAAAATTGTGATACGACATTCTACAATAGACCAATATAATATAATAAGTAAGACAAAAAAAAACTTTAATATCAAAACTTTAATCAGTAGATTGAATAAAATCATAGCCTTGCTAAAGAATGACACTTCACGACTTTGCCTAATGAGAAAGCAGACCAGAGAAGTATCACCAGTAAGTACATCAGAAATGACCCCCTTTTTATGCCCATGAACTTCAGAAGGAAAGCTCCCTGTTCCACTTGGTTGCTAGGAAACCCACAGAGTTAATAGGTAGCTGCACATTCATGGCTTCCATGGCTTTAAAATACCTTGAAGATGCTACTGAAAGATAACCCAGAGTTTGTAACATGCTGCCCAACCACTGTCATCTCTGCATTTATTTTAGTTCTACAAATTCCCTGTTTAAGTCTCACCACAGGCTAATGTAAACAAAAAAACAGAAGCCTACGTTGGAAGAAAGATGAAATGTGTATTGATTTTTACATGCTGATATAAAATAAAGCTGTGTTTTGTGAGATGTGTTCACCTTTTATATTCTACTGTACCAATCTTTTGTCTTTTCCACATATCTCATTCTGTGGCTGTCAATCATCTTCTTTGGGTAGAAAAAGGTAAAAAGATATACATTTTTTTTTGTTCCTCCCTGAACTGCAGGAACCAGACACGGGCTATGGAGAAGTTCTGCTTTCTATCAGCTATTTGCCTGCAGCAAATCGCCTGCTTGTGGTACTTATAAAAGCCAAGAACCTCCATTCCAAACAGCTGAAAGAACTCATTGGAAAAGGTACGGAAAAAATAAAAGCCTGTTGACAAATGCTATGAACTGAAATATTTATTTTAGTGGTATTTTTTAATGCCATGGACATTATTTAGTCACAGATGTGACATGGAGAGCTGGGCAGCTCTATATAGCCAAGGTGGCGCGGTGGTTAAATGCAGCACTGCAGGCTGACTGCTAGATCAGCAGTTCGGTGGTTTAAATCTCACCGGCTCAGGGTTGACTCAGCCTTCCATCCTTCCGAGGTGGGTAAAATGAGGACCCGGATTGTTGTTGGGGGCAATATGCTGACTCTGTAAACCGCTTAGAGAGGGCTGAAAGCCCTATGAAGCGGTATATAAGTCCACTGTTATTGCTATTATTGCTATTATTGCTATAGTATATATATTGTATACTGTATTTTGTTAGCTCATATAAAGCGGCTCTGAGCAAGAATGATATTTCTGCTAAGATTCAATAGCTGGACTGTATTTGAGCCTCGGTTTCCATCTGTCACTTTGAAGCAATAATATTCTCCTAACTGGCCAAGTTTCCCAAGATTGTGCAGATGCTGTCCTGAATCATTGCCTGGACATTGCAGTAAAGGATTAAACCAGTGGTGGGATCCTGCCGGTTCGGTGATCACGGGTTTAGCACATGCACAGTTTTACCTAAACTTACCTTCCATATTACTTCTTGGGGAGTAACACAGCTGAGGTACGGCAATCCGCTCTGCTATGCTAATCAGAATTTGTGATTCAGTCCAGAGTATGAGTTGTGAACAAACTCATCCAATGCTGTCAACACAGCCTGTTTTAAATGAAAATGCACTTCAACAGCTATTTTTGGAGGGACTGTAGGAACTGTATGCAAGACTTGAGAGGGCTACAGATTCTGCTTGAGAGAAAGCTTGAGAGAAAGATGTGATACATATGTAACCATAAATAAATAAATCATACATACCCATATTGTTGAACAATTGTTGGTAAGCTGGGGAATATGCAATTTAAACTGTAAGGACAGACACAGTGCCATTTATTCTCCTTTTTCTAACTATGTGTTCTGAACAAAATTAAAAGCACAATCCTTATCTGTTCATGGCACCTGTCAGCTTGGCAAGTGGGTATGCGTAATGCAGTGGTGGGATTCACATTTTTTTTACTGGTTCTGTGGATGTGGCTTGGTGGGCGTGGCATGGCTTGGTGGACATGGCAGGAGAAGGTTACTGCAAAATCTCCATTTCTTCCTAATCAGTTGGGACTCGGGAGGCAGAGAATAGATGGGGGCGGGGCCAGTCAGAGGTGGTATTTACCGGTTCTCCAAAGTACTCAAAATTTCTGCTACCGGTTCTCCAGAACTGGTCAGAACCTGCTGAATACTACCTCTGGCGTGATGGTATCTCATAGCATAGGTAGAAAGGTTCGCAGTCTGGGGAATTCATTTATGGGCCTGGGTGTATGTGTGTACATATACAAGAAAGAGAGAGACAGAAAGAAGAGACAGAGAGACAGAGAAGGAGACATAGAGAGAGACAGAAAGACAGAAAGAGAGACAGAGGGAGACCGAGAGGGAGGGAGGGAGTCAGTCAGTCAGTCACTCAGTCTCAGGGCCATATTTTAAACTATTTTCTGAAGGAGAATTAAATTACCTTCAGTTGAACAGTCTGATTTACAGTATTAAATTCCCACACCAGGTAGAGAGCTGTACTCACATTCAAAGCAACATGAAACTACCATGGGGAAGGACTGGAGAAGTGACTCCTGTTGCTATGTGTTTTGAAGCTTATAGAACTGAAGAAAATAGAATATATGTGTAAATAGCACAGGTGATTATCTTTAAGTATTTTTATGTGTTTATAGGAAATGTGGGCACTGCTGGCTCAGAATCAATCCACTCTTACTGTTGGCCCATGAGATCATCATCCTAGACCTTTTATCAATTGCCACATTCAGCCTTCAGGCCAAATGTGGCTGCCTATTCCTTTTTCAGCTAAACATTAAGAATGATTAATGCCTCTAAAAGTATCCAATAGATTAGTGCACTTAATCATTGTTGGTCTGTACAGATTTGGGTGACATGATTAATATGAGCCACAAAATTGAATGGATCAGATGCTAAATGGCAGAGTTTTTAGAAATAAAAACTGTAGTATATGATAGAAGATTATGTTTGGATGTGTGGATATGTGTGGATTGCATGTATACACAATGTATTTTTTTCATGGTGTTATGTAAATAATTCAAAGCTTACCTAGAAGTTATGCGTAAACTCTCTGATGGGGTCCATTCAAGAATTCTTAAAGTTATCAAAGGTAGAATAGATAGAATCAATAATTGAAAAAGAGCAAGCTTTGAGGAAGGAAAATCAACTAGCATTCAGCAAAGATAAATCCTGCTTTACCAACATTCTGGATTTTGAAAGTATCAGCAGATATGATCCTATTGATACTATATATCTAAATTTTCAATAAGCATTTGACTAAATTCTAAATCAGAAGCTCTAGAGTAAATTTAGTAGATGTTGAATAAGGGGACTGATCCTGGAAGTGGTTAAATAACAAAAAGCAAAGATGCATTTTCCTTTTTTTTCCTGCCTTAGCTTCAATTTTGGAGAATTTAGGTTGGCCTGTTTTTTGGGGTGGATGGGTAAATATGATAAATAATAAACAAATAACAATGAAAAGACATTTCATATAAGTAGTGTCTCAAAAAGAATGCACTCAAGGCTATAAAATGGCACTGTCAAATTTTAACAGGAAACTACGCTATCAATTGTCACAATATGTAGCTGAACACCTGTGACTCTGTGGGAACTATCTGTGGTCTGTGAGTTCACCACCTGTGAGTAGATTAGATGTGGGAAGGAGCTAAATTCAGGTCTCTCATTAGCTTCTTAGTCCTCTTCCCATGTCTCATACACAGTTTGGTCCTTAGTGATGGTTGATATTTTCAAGAAATTCTCAAGGTGTTTGTAGTCCGAAGGAAGATAAAAAATGCTGAGATCTGAAGACTGCTTTCATTTGACCAAATCTTATCCCTGTCCCTGCAGATATATCTGTCAAAGTGACACTGAAGCATCAGGCCTTGAAACTGAAAAAGAAGCAGACAAAGCATGCAAAACACAAGATCAACCCAGTATGGAATGAGATGATCATGTTTGAGGTTCCCCATGATCTGCTCTGTGCTTCAAGTGTAGAGCTGGAGATGCTAAGCCAGGATGCTGATGGGCAGAACCGCTTACTGGGCAAGTGTAGCCTTGGTCTGCATGCTGTGGGAACCGAGAGGAACCACTGGGAAGAGATGCTGAGGAACCCCAGGAGGCAGATTGCTATGTGGCACCAACTTCACATGTAGATAACAAGGTGGAAATGCTGATTCTCTCATGTTCAGTAACCTGGTCTCAGATCTAGAAAAAAGAGTTCTGTTTTAACATCCCAAACACGCACACATTATGAATTGAATCCATTCACGTGATTAAGCACAAGTCTTGTTTATTAATACTGTTATTAACTGTGTTTTACCAAATGAATATTGTTGAAATGGGCTAGTCAAAATAGCAAAAAGTTCATTGAGCCATGATAATGATTGGCGTGTCAAATCATTTCTTCAGCTTCTATTTCTAGCCATGCATAAAGGATTAATTTTATTTTTCATTACTTAATATCTGACCAATATTATCAGATATAATGAGTAATTTCATTCAAAATGTTAGGAACACAAGCCCCAATTGTGTTGGGCTTAGTATTGTCTACCCAATTGTGGCTAACTTGGAAAACTACGAAGAACTATGATATTATTTACCTAGCAATTTGTATCCTGTACAATCAGCAGATGGCTACCTCTATTTTTAAATGTTTTTGTTAATGTATACAGGGATATGTACCATGTCATCTATATATGTGGCAAAGAAAAGGAGGACATTTTTTTCTCCAAATCTATTTACAGTCTACAGGCAGAGATAAGATAAACAGCAGAGCCCCCTACCCCACTCCCCAAAAAAACAAGAATAGGGGGGAAACAAAATAATATAAATCACAGATAAATAGAATGCAAATTACTTATAAATAAGGTCCAATTAGACGTGATATTAAATTGCATTAGTTTGGACATTTCTGGTATGCAAATACAAGCATGGGTAACAATGTTACAGACATTCCTTGGTTACTGGTGACATGGCTAGAATAGCCTTGGAAATAAGTAAAATGGTAGACAGAATCGAATTATTCAGCTTCCTGAAGAATTCTAACAAAAAAAAAATACTTCAAAAGCTGAATTTGCATTTCAAAAGAATGTCTCATGAAGGCATTCTGTCTGCCTTAGGCAAGTAGGCAAATGGTGTCCCCCAGTCCTAATTGGTGTCTTAATTCAGAATGATAAATCCATTATTTTGCCATCTTCAGCAGAAAATCATCTGCTCACTTCTTTCCCAATATTTTTCATTTTTTCATTTTCATTTTATTAGCATTTATAGGCCGCCCTTTTCCCTGAGGGGACTCAGGGCGGCTTACAATGATAGGGGAAGGGAGTGCAGGACAAAACACAAAAAGAAAATGTGAATAAAAATAATTAGCAATAAAAACCCAACATTCATTCAACATTCGGGAGGGGCGAGAGTAAAGTCTTATCCCCAGGCCTGACAGGATAGCCAGATCTTGAGGGCTGTGCGGAAGGCCTGGACGGTGGTGAGGGTGCGGATCTCCACGGGGAGATTGTTCCATAGCGTCGGGGCTGCAACTGAGAAGGCTCTCCTCCGCGTAGTCGCCAGTCGGCACTGACTGGCGGATGGAATTCGGAGGAGGCCTACTCTATGCGATCTGATGGGACGAAGGGAGGTAATCGGCAGAAGGCGGTCTCTCAAATAGCCAGATCCACTACCATGGAGCGCTTTATAGGTGGTAAGAAGGACCTTGAAGTGCACCCGGAGACCAACAGGTAGCCAGCGCAGCTCACGGAGGATCGGTGTTATGTGGGCGAACCGTGGTGCGCCCACAATCACTCACGCGGCTGCGTTTTGGACTAGCTGAAGTCGCCAGATGCTCTTCAAGGGCAGCCCCATGTAGAGCACATTGCAGTATTCCAGCCTAGAGATCACAAGGGCTCGAGTGACTGTTGTGAGGGCCTCCCGGTTCAGGTAGGGCCGCAACTGGCGCACCAGGCGAACCTGGGCAAATGCCTCCCTGGTTACAGCTGATAAGTGGTGGTCGAAACTCAGCTGTGGGTCCAGGAGGACTCCCAAGTTGCAGACCCTGTCTGAGGGGTATAAATTTTGACCCCCCCAGCCTGAGCGATGGAACGCCAGCCAAATTGTTGGGAGGAAAACACAACAGCCACTCGGTCTTGTCCGGGTTAAGTACCAGTTTGTTAGCTCTCATCCAGTCTTTAACAGCCTCAAGACCCCGGTTCATCACGTCCACCGCTTCATTGAGTTGGCACGGGGCGGACAGATACAACTGTGTATCATCTGCGTATTGATGGTATTTTATCCCGTGCCTCCGAATGATCTCACCCAGCGGTTTCATGTATATGTTAAACAGCAGGGGGGATAAGACCGAACCCTGCGGCACCCCATAAGTTAGGGGTCTCAGGGACGATCTCTGCCCCCCCACCGACACCGACTGCAACCTGTCCGAGAGGTAGGAGGAGAACCACTGCAGAACAGTGCCACCCACCCCCACCTCCCGCAGTCGTCGCAGAAGGATACCATGGTCGATGGTATCGAAAGCCGCTGAGAGGTCAAGGAGAACCAGGATGGACGCGTGGCCTCCATCTCTGGCTCTCCAGAGATCATCGGTCAATGCGACCAAAGCGGTTTCTGTGCTGTAACCGGGCCTGAAGCCTGACTGGAAGGGGTCAAGATAGTTAGCTTCCTCCAAGGTACGCTGAAGCTGGAAGGCCACCACCTTCTCAACAACCTTCCCCACAAAGGGGAGGTTGGAGACTGGACGGTAGTTATTAAGAACAGCTGGATCCAAGGACGGTTTCTTCAGGAGGGGTCTCACCACCGCCGTCTTAAGCGCAGTGGGGAAGTACCCCTCCCGAAGAGAGGCGGTAACAACCGCCTGGATCCAGCCTCGTGTCACCTCACTGCTGTTGGCAACCAGCCAGGAGGGACACGGGTCCAGTATACAGTATATTCAAAATGCAGTTAGGTGGATCCAGATTTAAGTCATACTTTTCAGTAATTTAATGAATTTATACCACACTAAATTTATTGGGTTTTTAATAGTAAACTAATGGTTTGCTGCATTTTTATAATGCTAAATTCAAGTTGTCTAAGGAGGTTGCACTTAATTATATGTTAACAAATGGAAGCCAAGGTCAGAACTACCATTAAGCTGTTAATTTGAATGTATCACAGAAAGTGTTTAAGTGTTTCATAGGAAAGAGGAGTATTTGGAGGGATTTGAAGAGAGATGGACTCATAGAAGTATTTCAAAGTGCAGGGGCTAGTAAGAAATAATAGGTTTAATAAGCAATGGTCCTATTAATAGCTGAAAGTGATAAAGCTGGATAAGCAAAGGCTACAGGTAATATGTGGTAGAATTTGAAAATCAATATGAAAGAACCTGAAAATTTATCTGGATTATATTAAAAATCTGAATAAGCATGCATAGTATCCAGAAGTGACAGGAACATTCTTTTTTCTTTTATCTATGATGCTAAAACTTTCATCAAGTTAAAGTTGGTATTAATTGTTCAGCTTTTTCTTGAACCTTCCAGGAATGGAGATTTGCTAAAGGAAAATTATAATGTGACAGTCACTAATTAAGAATTGTCCATGCTTATTAACATATTGGACTATCTGCAAAAAAAAATTATTTGGTGACATTTTGAATGTTCCCAAATACATTATCTCAAATAAAAACTTCTGAAATACAAATTGTTTTCAAAGTAGGATAATTATAATGAAGATTTGACTTCCCAGATATGTCTAATTTTAAAATATAAACACAGATACAATTTTTATGCTATTACTCATCACCATGCTTTTACTATTTTGTTGCCTTTGGTTTTTAACCTTCATATTATGTGTTCAAAAAGTTTTAACTTTTACTTCCTTGTTAGTGTTTTCATTGAGCAGTCTGCTTTTTACTTCATCCACCACTGAATAATTTATTCTTCTTGGAGTCAAAATGTTCTCAAGAATTTTGTTCACCACCATAATTCAATGATAATACTTGCAGCCAAGTGTTCTGACCTTTAAAGGCCTGTAATGTAATAATCTTCAATTTGAATTGATGCAATAAAAGCTTTGGACCCAAGTATGTATCTACTTTAAATTAATCCCTTCTATGGTAAAAAGAGAAAAAGAAATGAGAAATATTCAGATTTTTGCATATAACTGATCTGGATGTGAATGTTTTAAGTGGTTTAGAGAAATCTGTGGTTTGTAGGCTAGCATCAGAGTCAAGTAATCCAAAACAACAACTACCCTCCCGGCCTTCCGCAAAGCCACTAAGTCCTGGCTGCTCAGCAGGCCAGGAGGCTGTTGAAGTATCCAGCCCCACGGTAACTATGAATGTTGTGTATTTTAAATTTGTTGTTTTGTCTATTTATCCCTTTCCCCTGTTTATTATAAGCCGCCCTGAGTCCTTCGGGTGTGGGCGGCATACAAGACCAATGAACTACTACTACTACTACTACAATATGTTTTTTTTCAATGTTACACAATCAGTTCAAGCAAAGGAAAGATAATTAAATGGAATAAGCACGTGAGATGTAGAAGTAGTGATTAGCACTCAGGGCAGCCCAAATTGCCTTGTCCATTTCAACTTTTTGCTAGTCTCCAAGTTTAGGTTTTTTTCCATGTTGGGAAATCCAAATATGAAATCGAGGGCATGTTGAACACAGAAATATAAAAGGCTGTCTAATCTCTTCATAAAAAAAAATCCAGTGATCATATTTTTCAAGAGGCATTCTGGACATTCTGTTTTTTCTTTGAAGACATTTTGCTTCTCATCCAAGAAGCTTCTTCCAGTGATGGTGCATCATAACTTCTGAAGGCAAGCCATTCCACTGGTTAATTGGTCTCACTGTCAGGAAATTTATCCTTAGTTATGGATTAGATCCCTATTTCCTCTATTTGTTTCCAAATATTACTTCTTGTCCTCTCTTCTGGTTCTTTGGAGAATATGTTGACACTCTCCTCTCTGTGACAGCCCGTCAAATACCGGAGAACTGCTATCAAGTCATCCCTAATTTTTCTCTTCTTTAGACTAGACATACCTATTCCTGCAACTGTTCATCATATGCTTTATCCTCTAATTCCCTAATCATCTTTGAGCTCTTCTCTGCACTCTTTCTAGAGTTTCAATTTTTTTTGTATCTTGGTGACCAACACTGAATGCAGTATTTCAAATGTGGTCTTATTAGTGTGGCTTAAAGTAGTACTAACATTTCATGTGATCTTGCTATTATCCCTCTGTTGATCCAGACTGAGTGCATCGGCCTTTTTTTGGCAGCTATATGACACTGCTGGCTCATGCTTAAGTGGTTGTCCACTAAAACCCCTAGATCCCTCACAACTACTGCTGTTGAGCCAGGTATCACTATTCTATACCTGTGCATCTGCAGTCAGTTACAAATCCATCTAGTGATGATGCTGTCTATCCCATATTTTTCTATTTTACCAGAAAGTAAGGTGTGGTCTATTTTGTCAAATATCTTATTGAACTCTAAGTAAACAATGTCCACAGCATTGAGGAAATGCTGAATCAGGCAACAAACAATACCCTAATCAGGGAAGAAACCAAGATTAGCAGGGCAAGTTGCTACACACACACACAGACACACACACAGAGAGACACACACACATACACGATCGGCAAATCCTATGTTAATATTATCTGGCCTGGCAGTGAAATGTTTTCAGGAAAACATACAAGCTCAGAGAATACCAAGAACCCAGTAAATGAATAATAGTGTAATAGAGCTCAAAAAAATAATCACCATTCCAAAACTCCAACATAAAATGCCACATAGTTGCAAGACAGCCTACAAGATAAATTATACTAATGAGAATTAAAGCCATGCAGCATCATTAGAAAACCTTAGTTTATATTAATTATTAAATAAATAGAAGCTAGTATACAATGATTATGGGGGCAGTGATTGTTGACTATCTAAAATTTGCCAGATGAATGAGTCATTTTAATCCCAGATTTTAAATTGCACTGAAAGAACATTCAGGGATTTGTTGTTGTTGTTGTTGTTGTTGTTGTTGTTGTTGTTGTTGTTGTTGTTGTTAAATTAAATCTCCCTGGCCAACCACATCATCTGAACTGCTGCTTAGAATTTTAAATTACCTTCTTTCTCCCAATATTTAAATAATGTACTAGAGAGACCCTGTGGAAATGGGATGCTATAGAAACATTGCATCTGTCATTGTTCTATTCTCCCCCAATTCCCCAGAAGATAGGCCAGATACAGACTAGGTAGCTAAAGTTGTCTAAAATCTGCAGTTTTTTATTGTG